ACGAACCAAATTTCACTACATTTATGATACAACCATATGATTAGATGAAATGATCTTTCTATAATTTGACGTATAAAGCATGATGATGAACATTATGATTATCATATTCAATCGTTGTATCAAAAACTAAGTTCTTACCCAAAAAAAAAAACTAATTTCGCTACCTTTTATTTTGTCTATGTTTGGGGAAAATCTCCATTTGAGTTGCCAACTTTTGTTGAGAAAATAGAGTAATAGAGAGGGAAACAAATGAATGGATTATGGTGGAAGCTGGAGGAATTTGTTATTAACGTGTATTTTTAATTTGTGAGCAATATATATTGTTTGGTTGTCTGTTGTGGGTACTGCCGTGGTATGGGTAGCTAGTGGGTTTGGAGTCCAAACTGAAAAAACAAATAGGAACAGTAGTGTACAGTACAGAAGAGGCCACGTCTCCTCTTTTTTCCTGCAATTTGTGGCTTGCTTGTAATTTTGTTGCCTTTCCTTCCCCCGCCGCTAGCTCTGAATCTGCTTCTGCTTTGCCATTTGCCTGCCTAAAAAATAAAAATGAAATGGCTACAGAAAGGCAGGCCACCCCCCATACCTGGGCTGGGCTCTATCTGCATCCGGCCCCACCGGATCCCGTTTTCACCATTTTCCCCTTCTCTTCCTTTTCTCTTTCCGTGAAAATTGTTTCACTTTTTACCTCACTAGATCTCAAATTTGACACGACTTTTATTTAAAGGGGAATACATGATTGCAGTATTTCTATCCAAATCTCAAATCACCGTTTAATTTAACTAACCTTTTATTGCCATATGCATGGTTGGTAACAGTTGAAGAAGTGAAAATGAAACGGTGGCCAAAAAATCCTGGTTGTCGCGTTCTCACTCTCTCCTGCAGATTGCTTTTGCATTTGCATGCGCTCTCTCTCATCCTTTTTTTTTTTTTTTCAGTAAGAGAAAGGAACAAAGGGTAGCTACGCAGGCGCAGGGGGGGAAGATGAGGATGAGATTGCGCAACTGGGTTACGGACACGTGTGATTTCTGGTGGCAGCGGCGGTGGTTGGCGGTGGCGGGGACCAAACCGTCCTTTCTTCCTCTCTCTCTCTCTCTTTTCCTTTTGGGGGAAGAAAGGCGGTGCTAATCAAAACTAGCTAGCCAGGGGTATGTATGTCGTCGTCGTATGTATGTATAGGATCGTAGAATGGTCCCTCCCTCCCTCCCGGATAAGAAGGACCATTATCATTATTCATTAGGTATATCTAAGCCACAGCCCATGTCACTGTTCATCGCCATCTTCCCAATCAACTATGTTACACCTTCCCCAAATCGGTAACAGTAAAAGTAAACCATGCATTGACTTTCTTTATCGCCACACAGAAACAGGACCAACTAACTAATCTCCTATAGCCAAAGCATGCATGGCATGCGCCCGGCCGTATGATTGCAATGTGTACAGCACGCACGCACCCAGCCAGCCAGCCAGCTGCTACTCTAGCTAGCGCTCGTTCCCACAAAACAAAACCTAACACTCCCTTTTTGGTCAAGGAGAAAGAAACTATAATTAGTTCAGAGCCTTCCCCGTCTGGGTCAGAAATTCAATTCCGGCTGTTCTTCATCAATGAGATGGGAATGCCCCACGTTCTAGTGTGGACAATAGCTAACGTGCTGCGTCCTCACTTCGAGGAGGCAAAAAAAAAACAAAAAAAAAATTAGTTACTGATACTCAACTTTAGGATATTGCTCCGTAAAGTTTTTAAGTTTTAAAATATGATTTGACTACATTTGTAAGTGAAAAGCGCGATTTTATGTATAAACATTTTGGTGACATATAAGAGGTAAAAGCATGCGCTTTTAAACTTTAAAACACGATTTTAACTACCTAGATTTGACTATGGTTTGAAACTCTTGCTTTTTTGGTGTGTCATATGCATGATATTTAATAACTAGATATCAATAGCTATAAAGTGTTCATAAATTTATAGTTAAAATACTATCTGTAAATTCTAAAATCAAATATCTGTATGCCTAGATCTCTAAAAGTTACAAATTATACGTTAATTTTTTTTTTGGAAATCATCTCCAATTAAAGTAATATATTGTATACACCTGAAATCCATATTGGATCATATATAGTGTTGAAGCCCCTTCGATTCGCCCCCTCCACTCCCGTACCGAACTCTTGACCCCACGAACCTTCCTGCACACACAGAGGTGGGCATCGTGGCCCGTTAATCCTCCAACGCTCAAGTCAGCCTCTTTTTTAGAGAGAGAAGTATCTTGTCCACATAAATCTTTTTAGTGAGAGAAGCTAACTTCCATAAATGTTTGCCAACCACCGTATTTATAACTGTTCATTACTCACCTTAGCTGGGCCGTACAAGTTTCCACGTCAGCACCGCATTTAATGTCTTATTTCAGGCGAGGCGCCTGTCTCGTCCCTCCAACGGGAGGTACGCTCCAGGCGCCTTTAGTGTACGTAGACATCCACCTTCGCACCCTCCGACGCCTCGACTGATCGTACTTTTCCATGCGCACTTAACTAAACCATGTACTTTAACTAACTGGGCTCCCGCTCCCATGACTTTGGGCTTCCCATGCTCGCTAGGGCCTCATTCCTCTCTGGGCTTCTTTAAAATCCATTTCTTGCATGTCTTGTTGGCACGTCGGACTCCTTATGAATGCCGCCTAACAATTGCCCCCCAGTTAGGTGCTCAAGCCTCCCGCCTTGAGCGCCTAACTAAATGCTTCCCCCTACGAGTTTCACATTGGCATCGCCTTTGACACTTTACTTGGGCCAGGCGCTCGCCTTGTCCCCTATCTGGCGCGCCTGATCCCCTTCCCATCTCCCTCGCACAACGTCCATCTTCGGGCCCAATGAAAACTCCTTTTGTCGCTGTCTCAGGCGCCCCGCTCTTCACCTACCTCCCCTTATAATTCAACCTTACCCAATTCTCCTTGAGCCGATGTGCACGTCCTTACCCTAATCGAACAGTCACCCCCTTCCTAACACGAGGCGCCTCGCAATCCCCGACTCTTTTTCCCAAAGGCGCCTTGACCCATTCTCCTTTTTCCGAAGGCGCCTCGCGCTAGCCTTACCGCCTTGTCACCCCTTCCTAACTCTAGGCGCCTCTCGGCTCCTACTCTACTCTACCGACGCGTTTTCGAAGGCGCCTCGCCAATCTTACCTCCTTTCCTCAAAGGCGCCTCGATCCGCCGTCGTTCTCCTTTTTCCAAGGGCGCCTCGCTCTATCCTTACTGCCCCCCTCACAACCGCCAATTTTGAAATTCAAATTGTGAGGTTGTGATTGGACCACGTGGTAAATCGGCACGAATGTCGAGGCGCGGCCTCTAACTCCTTTAAATGTAAGTTCTCTTTTGATCTTTCTTCATTCGCTTTCAACTCTCTCACTCTAGCTTCTATCTCTACCGTGCCTCTCTCCTTCCTCCTACCAGCTTGTTTCTGCTTCATTCCGAGATGTCGAACCCGACCACCGATGTTGCTGCCGTCGCCGCTGGCTCCTCAAAGGGTCCAGGCGCCTTGTCCAAAACAGGTAAATATCATATGCGTTTTTTTTTTTTTTTGCGTTTCGTTTGTGTTTTCTCCAATGGGCTCCCCTTACCTCGCCGACGGTTGTGCACCTGATTGAATTGTTATAGCGGGCGCGTCTGTATTGTCACCAATATCGTCCCCATCGTCCAACTACTACGTGCCGGAGGATGGATATTACAAGATGACTACCTGGGAAAACACGTGGCCGCCTCAATATGCGCCTGTTGAAACGACGTGTTTGCCCGCAAACGTGGCAGGGCCTGAGCACAACTCCACCATTTCAGTAGCTTGGATGACGAGTTTGATCACGGGCCTAAACCTCCCTCGTACGTGGACGTACGCGCCTCCATCTCCTATTGCCAGGGTGGGTCTATGCGGGCCCAAATGGCAAGGCGTCTACCAAGAATACTTCCGGTTCGGGCTTCGATTTCCCATAGATCCCATTTTAGAGGGGCTCCTAGACTACTGCGGGTGCACCCTTGGGCGCCTGTCACCATCTGTGATTTTGATCATTGTGCTTTTCAAGTTGAAGTGCCGAATCCATAACGTGCGCCCAACTTTCAATCTCTTTCGTCATTTTTTCTCGGTTAACCCCAGAGATAACTGTCTGTCGTTGAAGCGCCGGAAGAAGGTGGGCGCCCACTTCGTGATTAAGTGTCCCAAACTAGGAAGGTCCTGGTTCACGGGCTTCTTCTTCATGAAGGCTCATAGGGACTACTTCTTTGAGAGTGGGGGCGCCTTTAGGACAGATTGGGAGCTAGGTGATGAGGAGCGTTTTAATGCTGCTGTTGTGCTTAACCGGGACGAGCGCGCCGACGCCGCTCTTATAAGCGCCTCTCCCGTCGACTTGCGCCCAACCAGTGCCCGGCGCCGATTTTAGATGCATACTTTGGAGATGGTGTGTTAGATACTTAGTTTACTTGTTAATGCTCTTGTAGGCGCCTTGCCTGATGTGATTGCTTGTGTGCAGGTACCGATTTTTCCCGCATCGCCACTTTGATGAGGGGGCGATACGCCAAGATGACACAAGGGGCGCCTCTCCAAGCCCCTGTTGACCCACTCAAGGCGTCCCCTACCTCGATTTCCACCAAGCAACCCCACAAGTTCCCTCTGTCAAAGGGAAGGGGAAGGCGCCCAATGAGAAGCCCGCCAAGACTTCTAGTGTAGCGTCTACTCTATCAGGGGCGGATGCGCCTGCAGAACCCCCCTTGATTGTTGCACTAGACGAGCAAGGGGAAGAAGACGATGACGCGCCCTTGGTTACCCGTGGGAAACGGGCAGGCGCCCGACTAGTGTCTTCGGGCAAGAAACCTCGGCCCATTGTCGAAGACACAACGGAGGCCCCAGCACGAGGGGAGGAAGGCTCCCAGAGGCAGGGCGCCCTTTCCGGCCGCTATGTCATCGAGTCGGGGCGCCTACTTGGTCCGGACGGGAAGCCACCCGTACTGCAGCCGCTGCGCACCAAAATGGGGCGCATTAGTCTTTCTTGCTCACCGCGTGCGGCGGTGGATCGTGGGTGCGCCATGGGCCTGGCCCTTTCGGCGTCCCAGCAGCTGCAAGTGCCCTCTGAGATCACGGAGGAGCGTCCTTGGGCAGAAGTGGCATGCATGGGTGTCAAGGTAACTTTTCATGCGCCCGAGTTTTCCGTTACAGATGCTCCTAACTTTTTCGTGCGCCTTACTTTTCATGCGCCTGATTTTTCCTTTACAGATGCTCCTACTCGCCGAAGCAGGCGCCCGGAAAGCGGACGTCGCGGCTGAAGAGAGTCGCGAAGCTAGTATGTCTCTGTCCACCATGAAGGACAACCTTGAGAACTCTACCGCTCGCCGCGAGCAGCTCATCAAGGAGTGCGAAGAGGCCCAGCTGGAGGTGGCTAAACAGATCTCCACTCTTCAGGCTACTTTAGAGGCGGAGCGCCGTCAACGGGACACCGAGTTTGCCTCTCTTATGGCGAAGGAGCGCCTAGAGTTTGAGGTGAAGCTAGCCGCCCTGGCGGCGGACAAGGAGGCACTTACCAAGGACTTGGGCGCCCGGGATACCGAGCTTGCAACCTTGAGGGAGGAGAAGACATCTCTCGAGGACGAGTTGAAGGCGGCTGCGTACCGCCGAGGGGACTACAAGAAGGCTTTGAGGGGCGCCCGCAAGGAAGTAAGAGCTCTCAAGGCGTCACTGAAGCATTTCGCGAGTTCAGAGGCGGGGCAGGAGCTTATTGCCAAGGCGTCTCTGGACAGCCTGGTACTTGCGAAGAGGAAACTCGATCAAGAGTACCCAGATGTCGTTGTGGACTTTCCCGACCTCGTGAACTTTGTAATTGAGGAGATGCATAATGAACAGGAGGAGGCGGCTGAGGATGATGCGGCGCCTACTGGGAGTAGGGAGGCGCCTTCCCCGCAAGAAAGTGATACTTCGATGGAAGATGCCTCTTCGAAAGCGGAGTAGTTTAGGTTCCTTTCACTACTTGCACCATGTACCATGAATTATTGGTTGCTTCTCCCCCTCTTTTAATAACCGTGTAACTTGTCTTTGGACGTACCGCCACTGGGCGTTTGTCACTTCGGATTTTTTTTTTTTTTTTTGCAACATTCCTTGGGCGCATAATTTACCAACTTTGGTTGCTTTCGCGGACCCTCGTATTTACTTTATGTTTGGGCGCATAAGTTTATGGGCGCTTTGTTGACTTGTATTACATGGGCGCAAGTCCTTTTGGGCGCGCAATTTTACCGTCTTTGGAAGTGCCGGGGCGCATATCTTACTGGCGCTTTATCAACTTTCCCCACCTTATTAGGGCGCATATTTCACGGGCGCTTTATTTTTGTTACTTTGGGCGCATAATGTTTTTGGGCGCATTACCTTTCGTTCCTCACTATGCGAACATTTACTTGGGCGAATTTTTTATTTGGGCGCATTCGTTTCTCACTATGCAAACATTTACTTGGGCGCATATCTTACGGGCGCTTTACCAACTCCGTGGGCGCAATGTTTGGGCGCAATTTGTTACCATTGTACCTGACTCGACTCTACTGTCACCCTAGGAATTGGCCAAGTGTAACCACTTCCTAAAGCGTAGTATAGCGGGTTTGGGTTTAATTATCAACCCGGGTCCTAGATGTGATGACTACTCAGTGAATTCTTGTTATCTAGCAATGAAACTAGAATGCAAGTCTAAACTAACAAACTAACAAAGCAAGTAAACTGTTGTATTCAGGTTAAGAGAGGTCACCCGGATATGGTTCCCCCTAGACTGCAGTTAAGCCGGATTGTAATTACCAAGTTCAGTTTCTATGATAGTTATACTGCGGAAGGTTCTCAAACAGCCTGAAGTCTCGACTAAAGGTCTTCAGACCCTCCCAATCAGATTGAGGCCCTAAGAACAAAACCTCCACTACCGGAGTAAATCCGGTACAGAATAGTGAGTTGGCTCCTCGACTAAAGTCACCAACTCCCTACCTTCAATCAAGGATACTCTATTAACCTAGTCAGATATTCTCATTCTAGGTTAAAGCAGAAACAACAGGAATTTGATCAGGATTCAAGTCATTCAATCATTAAAACCTCAATCGAATATAATCAATCACAGAATCAGTACTTGGGTTCATACAATCAAAGCCTAACATACAAATCTAGGGTTCTCCATACCCATATGAATGGGAGAACTACTCCATGGAGAAGAAAGCAAAAGCAGAATCAGACACGGAATTCATACTGCGAAGGATGGATTCCGGCTCCTGGACGTTGATTGGCACTTCTCCAAGCTCAAGCTGGCCTCCAATGGTGTTGAAGATCAATCTAGGGCACTTGGGAACTCTTGCTCATCACTTTCTCTATCTAGAAGTCGTTCTATCTCTCAAAAACTCGAATCCCCCTCTGTTTGGCTGAAAATCTGCTTAAAAGGGCATCAGCCAAAGCACGGTCGAGGGCACGGCCGTGCTTTGCCTGACTCCGCCCGTGCCTCGGTCAATGTTAATTACACGGCCAGCAGTTGGGGAGAAACACGGCCGTGCTTCGCGTTGGACACGGCCGTGTAATGCTTGAACACGGCCGTGCTTTGTCTCGGCCTTGCCCGTGTAATCAACTCACCTCTCGGCATAAAAAGCACGGCCATAGGAACACGGCCGTGTAATGCCTTAGGTGTGCCCGTGTTTTGGCCCCAGCTTGACGAAATGACCTCCGAATGCCCCGAAACTCGTGGTTAGCCTTCCCTTTTACGCCTGGGACCTGAAATATGACAAAATAGCACAACCTGGCGTAAAATAGGCCAAAACACACGACTATACTCCTCAAACGGATAAGAACTAGGGGCGCAAACATGTGCAATTACATCGTTATCAAATTCCCCCACACTTAACCGTTTGCTTGTCCCCAAGCAAACCTAACTCAAACCAATGCAACTCTCCAGACCTCTATAGCAACAAACAACCCAGATCGTAGGTAGAGGACTTCCTAGATCATTTAGCAACTTACGAGGTCAACCGACGCACAAGTCATCTAATAGCTTCTTCGACGATAGCACTAGTATCGAGTCGGCATCATGGCAAATAGTGAACAGAGGACAAATGAATTGTGGATGAAGAGATTCTCAAAAACAAAAGATCATGGACTCACATTTTTCAAGGTGCTCTATATTCTTTTTGAAGATGGTTGGAACCCCTTTATCTTTCTGTTTTGCTTGTTTTCTGTTATTTTTTTCTTCTCTTTTTTTCAAGGGTCCCAACCTGCTCTTACCGGCCATGCCAGGAGCGGATGTCTCGAGCCTCGTGCGGGGGAAAGACATGTAAGGGGGCTGGAGGTAGTAGGTGGAAATTGGGAACGGATTCCCGTCTCCCCTTACACACTTTCGCCCTATTCGCACGGGAGACGTTATTTTGAAGCACATTTTCGAGCACCTGTTAAACTCACAACATGATACAAGAGTCCATGACAGGTAGAGAATCCACAACACCACACAATTCAAGGGTCCTAAGATCACTAATTCACTCAATCAACCAACACAATATGAAGAAGAAATGAGACTTCTTAAATGCATCAACATCCTCCATAGTGCTACACTACCTCCCTAGGTTGCATATTACTATAAAGACTGCCAATTCAAAGCATACTGAGCAGGCAATTGCAAGGAAACACGTACTTGGAGCCCTCAAATTTAAAAATTTGGACAGTGGACTAGGCTCCAAGCACACAAACAGATCTAATGCAGTCAAAAGATAAACATCCCCCCACACTTAAGATCGACATTGCCCTCAATGGAGAAGAGGGAAGGGAAAGGGGAATGATGTTACCGGTATGCACTGACTGCAGGGGACTGGAAGGGGGCCAGTCGGGGCAAGCACAGCCAAAGGGGAACAGAAGAGCTCAAACACAATATGTTAGGTTCAATGGTCGGCCCAATAAAACATCATCCAAACCAAACCCAAACTGGGTTACAATCCGACTCAAAACACAAGAAAGAAAATCAAACCGTGGTGGGGTTGCCTCCCCACAAGCGCTTCTTTACCGTCGTTTAGCTGGACGCCCATGGTGGATACTCAGGGCGGTGCACGAACAGGTGCCTCCAAGAGCGGATACACGTCGCTCTTGAGGTACAGCTTCAGGTTGTGGCCATGCACCCGACGGATGCGACCACCCTCATCAGTCAGCTCGACCTGCCCATCTGGCAAGATGCAGGCGAGTGAGTACCCAGACGGCCAGGGTGGTCGTGGTGCAGGAGGTGGGACCAGCTCATAGTGGTCTCCACTCTTCTTCCGTGCAGGCTTAGCAACCTGCTGCTTCGGCCGCCACTCCTCCTTGAGCTTTTTGTTCGGAGGCGTGGCTGGATGGAGTGGCGGCGAAGGAATGATAGGAGGGTCCTGCAAAATAGGAGGTGCAGAAGGGTACATGACAGACTCGTGTACCTGATCAGAAATGGCATGCACAGGCGTGACAGCAATCATAGCACAGTGATCAAATTCAGTCACAAAAAAAATAGCCTGTTCATTCCCAGCACGCAAGATCAGTTTACCATCATGCACATCAATAAGTGCCTTGGCGGTGGCAAGAAATGGCCTACCTAGAATCAAAGGCACATCCACATCCTCATGTATATCAAAAATAACAAAATCAACAGGGTATGTGAATGCACCAACACCAACAAGCAGATCCTCTATGATTCCCCTAGGATGCACAATAGAACGATCAGCTAATTGAATGCTCATCCTAGTAGAGCTAAGTTCACCTAGGTCTAGCATTTTATACAACTTAAATGGCATGACGTTAATGCTAGCGCCTAGGTCCGCCAAGGACTTTCCTACATGCATGCTGCCAATAGTAAGAGGGATAGTAAAACTCCCTGGATCCTTGCGCTTCTCGGGCAGCTTGTTCTGCAGGATATCAGAACACTCCTCGCTCAGCAACACTGTCGAGAGATCCCCAAGTTTCTTCTTGTTGGTGCAGAGATCTTTCATGAACTTGGCATACTTGGGCATCTTCGACAGTGCCTCCACGAACGGTATACTGATGTTGAGCTGCTTCAACATTGCCATGAACTTGGCAAACTCAGTCTCCAGCTTGTCTTTGTGTAGGCGAGTGGGGAAGGGAAGCTGGGGCACATGCTCCTTAACCCCTGGTTGTGGCTTGGGAGCAGGGGCTTCCTTCTCCACCCGCACTTCTGCATCGTCGGCTGGAAGTGCTGAAGCAGTCAGTGGTTCCTCCTGTCTGGCCGGGACAGGATAAGCAGATATGGTCTTACCGCTCCTGGTAAAAATGGCATCCAGCTGCTGATGCTGGTGAGGATCTCGAGGATTCGGGACAGTGGTGGCAGACAAAGTCCCCGGTGCCCTGGTGGTGGTCTGGCGGGCCAAGATGCCTACCTGGGTCTGCAGATCCTGCAAAATGGCACCCTGGTTCCTCTGACCTGCCTCCAGTGAGGCTACACTCTGGTCCAACCTCGTGATAGTCGCCTGAGTGCTCGTCATGAATGAAGCTAGAATGTTTTCCAGCTTCGTCATCCTGTCATCTGGTGCTGGAGCTGCTGCTCGCTCGGCAAACTGGCGCTGGGGCTGCTGGAATGGCTGCCCCTGCCTACGCTGGTAGGACTGCTGCTGTGGGTCTGGCCCCTGGCGAGCCTGGAAGGGCTGCCTCTGCTGAAAACCACCTGCTGGTGCTGGGAAACCAGGTGGTTTAGTGGTGTTGCTGCTCCAGGCGAAGTTGGGATGCTGGCGCCACCCCTCATTATATGTGTTACTGTATGGATCGAGGCGCCGCGCATTGGCGATGAAGGCCAACTGCTCCTGGGGTGTGGTAGACTCCCTCATAGCTTGGCAGTCCTCCACTAGGTGATTGGAGCTCTCACACCACTGACACTGAGCAACTGGAGGTGTAGCCAAACCTCTTCCCGGAATAAGACTGTTGGGCTGCTTCAATGTCTGCACCAGCTCAGCTACCTGCTGCTCGAGTCCGGATCTGGA